TCCCATATCTAAAATTATTTTTTATATTTACTTTATTGAATAAATTAAAGAAAAGTATTTTTTTTTGTCAAATTTTATATATAAATTTGGGTGAGTCAACTTATTTGATTTATATTTGACAACATTTTGAACCCCTGTAAGAGGACATGTCTCATGCCTGTTATATACAAATTATCTACAGTCAAACCTCGTTATAGTCACTCTCGATAGTCACAACCTTGATATAATCACGCTATTTTTAATATAAAACATATAAATTTGACCTTTATATAGTACAACTTTTTATAATCACCTGATTTTTGTTTCTCAAGCTGGAGGTTTGACTGTATTTAAATTATTATCTTCCTATTACATCACCATAGCTCACGAAAAGTTCTAGAAATAGCAATTTTATGCTTTATAAAAAATCTTTAAATTATGAGAAGTCATTGCTAGCTATACATGAATAGATGGAAAAAATTATGTGGCCAGTTATTTTCGCAAGTAATACAAACACCTAAAACGAAAATAACCAATCAGAGATAAATCCGCTTAGTAATGTCTAAGTGATGATTTGGTAGTGTGAATCATTAAATCGAGTAATTCTTACATTTAGCCTGTAACATTACAAGTTGCTTTATCAACACTAGTTCTATATCAATATTGGCAAAACAGTATTATCCGATGTGCAAACAATTAGCTCCCAGTTGTCCAATTGTAAAGATTGGATTTGACTAGAACTATTCGAATTATTTGAACCATTAATTAGAACAGCCTAAAATTTTCTTGATTTAACCGGTTAATGCAGCTGGCATCAATACTCTCGTAATTTAGTCAGTGACAACATAATTCGGTCGATATAATAATAATATTCTCCATAGCACAAATTTATCTTTAGTAAAAATTAAATCAATTTTTATTATTAATTATTGGAAATTCTATAAATAAAAATTATTAAAACTAAAAAATGGTGTACTATCTAAACAGATGTTCTATAATTATTAAATAATTGACTCTTATCCGGAGATCAGTTGAAATGTATCGGATAATCAGTTTGGCTGAAATAAACAGTTTTTATTCCTTACCTCTATAGAACGTCTTTAGATTTGCTCCAGAAAATAAATAAAAAATAATCTAGATTTTCGCCATTTTCGCCTTCTGCCTCGCTGCAATCTTTTCCTAAAATATATTTAGGTCGATTAGTCAAGGTTTTTAAAATATTTATAAAAGGTTTATTAATATTACCTTCACAGTATCACCACCAAATACCATGCAAATAGTTTGCCAGACACCAAGACAAATTCTAGGGGTTACACCACGATAAAACCCTTTGAATCCATTATTTTTATATATATATTTTGCAGCTGAGACAATCGTCATCTTTTCAGGACGGTCAGGTGATTTCACTTGAGATTGCATTTCAACGCGAATAACTTCGATTGGCTTTCATTGTAATTATAAGTCTAATTATTAAATAATTAACATGTAAATAATAAAAATAATAATTTCCTACCTGATTCCAGCAGGACAAACCACCTCCAATAGCACTAGCTAAAATTTTTTGAAGCGGTGATAACGGTCGACTATAATCTATTGTTTCACCATCACGAATTCTTCTAATTGCCGTTTCACCAAGTCGTGTTAAACCAAATCTACTAGCCCAATTAGTACATTGTCGTAGGGCAACAGCATTGACACCTTTATTAATTCCGCGAATCCCTTCCTTTTTCCATATGTCCATAGCAATCTTAATACTCGAAACTTGTTCACCGGCAGGAGCTTTATGACGCGTAA